TCTGAATACCACCTATGGTCTTGGCTATTGGGGAAACTGAGTCAGAGATGGGTCAGGACCAGGCAATCTCCAAAGTCCCTGCACAAGGTGCAGAAGGATGGTGTTGGGATACCACTGGCAGGCTGAGCAGATGTGGGGACCCTCCCCCCCAGGTGTCTGCTGGCCCCTTTGCTAGCTGTGACCTCATGGGCAGAGGAACAGCCAGTAAGCAGAGAATTGCTGGGGCTCTGTAATGACAGGGTGACCCTTCTGTGAATAACCTGGCTCATCAGCAGTCAGGTCAGAAGGGCAACCCCTGTGTTTTGTCTTTCTCAAAGCCCGTGAAACGTGAGTTAGGTGATTGCTGGTTTACAGATACCAGTTGTCATGGAGTTGATCTTGCCTCACGGCGCCCCCATGTGGATCAGAGTAGAACTGTGATCCAGTGGGTTTTCCATGGTTGAGATCTTAGGGAAGTAAATCGCCTTGGCTTTCTTCCAAGGTGCTTCTGGGTACGCGCCAACCACCAGCCTTTCAGTTAGTAGCCAAGCAGGTGAACTGTCTGTACAATCTGGGGGCTTCTGCTTAGAAGGTAATAACTGGAGAGTGATTTGCAAGCCTGATATGGAATAGACCACACTTTAGGTAACATGCCTGTGCTGTCTATGTTCCATATTAAGAGGTAACATGTTGGAAGGAGACTTTAGAAAGATGGAAACCCCGCTGCCATGGAACTGATTCACACGTACAGTGACCCTGTAGGGCAGAACAGAACTGCCCCCTGGAATTTCCGAGGGTGTAGATCTTTATATCAGCAGAGTGCTGCATCTTTTCCCCTTGGAGTGGCTGATGGGGTCAAACTTTTGTCCTTGCAGTTAGCAGCCCAATGCTTAATCCACTATGCAACCGGGGCTCTTATAAAGACAAAAGTCACAATAAACCCAAACTTGTTTTGGGGACTTGTCTTACAAAAACTAAAGGAGAAAAAGAATTTTCATACTGGTTTTAATTATCCTATTGGTGAACTGTTAATAAATGATTATTTATTAATAAATTATTAAATGATAATAATAATGGCCTATTAATAAATCAACATGGTCATAACCATGTCTTGCTGTAGCTACTCTCCTGCTCATGTAATTTTTTATTAGGTTTTTATGGAATTATGAACCTGGAAGGAAAAACTATTGTATTTACGACCAAAAAAAACCCACTTACTGACTAATGTACCATTTTACTTATAAAGGCACTAAAGAAAGGACTGTAAATGTTAGGGTAGAAACAAATGATTTATCTGACGAATACTGAAATGAAACGTAAATAGTAATCTAGTTAGTGATCATACAAGGAAAAAAAACCTCTTAATATGTCCCCATGAGTACTTTAGGAGACCTGGGGTGGCGCTGTGGGTTAATGCGCCAGACTGCAAAGCCGTTTGAACTGCAAGGTCGGTGGTTCAAGCTCACCAGCTGCTCCTCAGAAATCCTATGGGTCAGAGCCAATTAGACGGCACTTTACAACAACAATGAGTACTTTGGAGTCCTGGTGTGGCACTGTAGGATAAACCCTGGATTATCAGATCCGTTTGAACTACAAGATTGGCAGTTCAAATTCTCCAACTGCTCCTTGGAAACGCTGTATGGGGTTGCTATGAGTCAGAACCAACTCGACAGTAGTTAGCAACAACAACATCAGTGCTTTAAGGAGTCTTGGTGGTGCAGTGGCTAAGCATTGGGCTTCTAGTTACGGGCCGGCTATTCAAATCCACCGGACAGTCCATGGGAGGAAGAAGCAGCTGTCTGTTTCCATAAAGATTTAAAACCTTGGATTCCCTATGGGACAGCTGGACTCTGTCCTATAGGGACACTATGAGGTAGAATCCAGTGGAGGACAATAGTTTGGTTTATCAGGGCTTTAAGGTATTGTGGAAAGACCATTCTAAAATCAGAGCAACTTGGATCTGATTCCTTCTTAGATGTGTGAACTTGAGCAAATTACTCAGTTTCTGGGCTCAGTTTTCTCAAGAGAATAGGAAAAAGAAAAGCTCTCTCAGGAACTCTTGTGTAACGTTCTGGGGGAGCAGGGGACGGGTACTGTCAGAGAAATGTGCTTTATGCTTCAGTTGGGGGAACCATCACAGAAATTTGTCTAGTATTCCAGGTGGGACCTTCAGAGAAATGTATGTAACATTCCAGGGGGGCCCATCAGAGAAATGTGCTTAATGTTCTGGGGTGTGTGTGTGTAGGGAACCTTCAGAGAAACATACATAAAGTTCCGGGGGACCCATCAGAGAAATGTGCTTCACATTCCTGGGGGAGGATGGTCAGAGAAATGTGCATAGTGTTTCAGGGGGGACCTTCAGAGAATTCAGAGAAATGTATATAGCGTTTTGTGGGGAGGCCTCAGAGAAATGTGCATAGATTCACATCATGCCAAATGCAGAAACTGTGTGTGCACAGGGCTCACGCCAAGTTACCGAGATCAGCTGCATCAAAGGGGAGTTGTTGGGGTCATTCGGGTCGAGCTTAGACTCAGCTGCCCACTTGGCCAACTTTTTCATGTCCGTCAGTCCTGATGTGCCAATAGACGAGATGGCGTCTGCTCTCTTCAAAGCACTGGAAGACATTAATCCCACGAGACTGACTTTTACCACGACACACTTTTCATCAGGACACAAATTGCAAAGCCAGCATTGCATAAAAGGGTTATTATGCTCTGAGGGAGGACGGGTTCTCACTATTTTCCTTTACTTGGTGATTGCTATTCAATAGGTTATAAGGCTAAGGAAAATATAGACATACTGAAAGAATGAAGGCAGATGTGGCTCATTCTTACAAATCTGCCCATGCATACAAGGGTCCCCAGCCATCCCTAGAACCACAGGGATCTGGTCCAGAAAGTCCCCAGAGCCTCTTGTTGCCAGCAGCTGGGGCCCACCTGTAGCTGAGGATTAACAATCAGCACCAAATGCTTTATGACTAACCTTGTATATTTCATGACTCACATGGGTTCTACTTCCACTTGTGAGGACTGGAAAACTGTCATCACCCCCAAAGGGTCTCCAGAACTCATTCCAAGTGAAATGAACCCAACACGTGTCCGCTCAAAGGCATACGCAAGTCTCCATTGGGAAGGTCTGTCCTCCTGAGCTAGAAAGTGCAGAGCGGTGGCACCTTGCCGGTTTTGTCACATGTGTACAGGCGTTGGATATTGGGTTCGATCAAGCACAAAGGGAAGGGAACACAGTAAAATCCAGTGGTCGGATCAGGCACAAAGGGAACACAGTCAACCCAGTGACTGCTTTCAACCTGTTGAAATTATAGGATGTGACTTGGAAAGTGTTCTCTGGGTGCGCAGATGAGTGATACAAGGATGAACTCAAGACAGTGAGAAGCAATGAAAGAGCCAAGACTAGAATTGGGCTCCCTGGTTCCCATTGACTGCAATAGTATGATCCACAGAGATGGGAGGCAGCGTAAACTGTTGTGGTCTAGAACCCCTTTCCTTCATCCTTCTCAGGTACCTAATAGATCTAGTTATCAGAGAAGAGGACCGGAGAATAAGGACTTCCATGTCCCCATCAGTCATCAGTGGTGATCGAGTTGATTCTGACTTGTAACCTCGTGTGTGTCAGAGTAGAACTGTGCTCCACAGGGTTTTCAATGACTATTTTTTTAGACAAGGATTACCAGGCCTTTCTTCTAAGGTGCTGCTGGGTGGTTTGGAACCACCAAACGTTTGGTTAACAGCTGAGCACGTGAACTGTGTACAGCACCGGGGGACTTTTTCCCCATAGCCAGAAGATGCCAGTACCTATCGTCATTAGCAACAAGCCCGTAATGATGGCCATGCATTCAACACAAATGTGGAAAAATGGAATGAAAAGAGAATGGAATTTTTCCATAAAGTTTTTGAAGCTCTCTTGTAGGTAACTATGTGATGTGCACTTCCTCCATTTTTAAAAATGGGGAAAATAATACTTCATATTAGGTGTTGGGCTGCTAACTGCAAGGTTGACGGTTCAAACCCATCAGTTGCTCCATGGGAGAAACAGGAAGCTGCCTGCTCTTGTAAAGATTAACAGTCTCTGAAATCCTATGTAGGGTCTGTCTGAGTTGGAATTGACAGCATTTTATTTTTTAAATTATATACAGCTATTATGAAGCTTAAGGAGCTCTGGTAGCATAGTGGTTACGAATTGGGCTGTGGACCACAAGGTCCGCAGTTTGAAACTACCAGCTGCTCCGCGGAAGAAAGATGAGGCTTTCTGCTCCCGTAAAGATTTACAGCCTCGGAAACCCTGTACAGGGTCGCTATGGGTCGGAACCGACTCGACGGCACTTAAGAACAACAACAACAACAATTATGATGTTAAATGAGGCAAGGTATCTTTCAGAATATCTGATACATAATAACCCAATATTTGTTAGGCTATTTCTATTTTAACCTTAACTTTAAGAACAACAACAACAAAAGCCCCTGGAGAGTATTACACATGTAAACAAACAAACAAATAAATACAAACCCAGAATGTGATATTGTAAGTGTGTTTGTTTGTTTGTCTTTTAACCCACCATGGATGCATTTAATGTTAATACTGACGGGGCCCATTGGTTTATTCTAGTTACACATTACCTCCGAAATCCAATGATCTGCTGAGACAGAGGAGGACTTAGAGGGACACCATGTTCTCCAACTGCCCACGCCACACTGTTGGACACTTTCCCTGAAGTCATTAGAATCAGTTGATTACTACCATCAGCTTCAAATGAGAAAGGCACGCCTACAAAAACCAGCAGAAACACGATGCTAGTTAGAAAGGGGGGAGCGAGCCCAAGTCCTGGCAAGAATGTAAATAGTGGATGAATGAAATTTGCTGTGGGTGGGATGGCAGATCTGGAACACATCCTCCAAGCCACATCATGTGAACCCATTCAGGTGATGATGCTTGGAGTTAGCCACCCTGCTCCATCGCTGGCAGCAGAGTGCAGGAGGCATGAGTCTGCATTCTGTACTTGGACCAACTGCATCCACTGAACAGCTCTAGTTACCCCGGAAAAATTGCTTAGCTTCTCCAAGCCTTAGTTTCTTTATGTGTATAATAGAGATAATAATAGTACCTCCTTCAGAGAATTGTGGTGAAGACTCATTCCTTCATTCATTCAGTAAATACTTATTCATACTGTCAGGAGAGACCAGTCGCTGGAGAAGGATATCATGTTTGGTAAAGTGGACGGTCAGAGAAAAAGAAGAAGACCCCAATGAGATGGATTGGCCAAGTGGCAGCATCGATGGACTCAAGTGTGGCAACAATAATGAGGTTGGCCCAGGATCGGGCAGTGTTTCATTATGCTGTGCATAAGGTCACTATGGGTCAGTACCGATTCGATGGCACCTAACAACAACAAACATGTGCCAAAGGAACCCTGGTAGTGCAGCTGGTTACGACCTGGGCTGCTAACTGCAAGGCCAGTAGTTTGAACCTACCAGTTGCTCCATGGTAGAAATATGAAGTTTTCTGCTCCCATAAAGATTTACAGCCTCAGAAACCCTATACAGAGTCACTATGAGTCAGAACCAACTCAGTGGTACACTACCACAACCATGATGTGCCAGGCACTGTGGTAAGAACCTCATCAAAGAAAGACATAGTTTCAAAGAAAGAAATAGAGCTGGTAAGAATTCCTGTTTTCATAACATTTGTACTCAAGTGGGGGAAACAGGAAATAAGTAAGATAAATAAGAGAAGTGTGTGTAGTATGATTGAGAGAGTAATGATCGCTAAGGAGGCCCCTGAATTAGGGAAGGTACTCCTGGTGTGGCGCTGTAGGATCAACACTAGACAGTGAACCACAAGGTCGGCAGTTCAAACCCATCAGCTGCTCCTCGGAAACCCTGTACAGGATTGCCATGAGTTGGAACTGACTTGACGACACTTAACAACAATAACATAGAAACCTTGTATTTTAGGTGGGTGGGAGGGAAGGTTCACAGAGAGATGACTTTTAGGAAGTGAGACATGTAGACATCTTGGGGAAGAGACTTTGACAGAAAGCAAGGGGGAAAAGCCTGAATGTGAGCGTGCACTAGGAGTGAGGGGCAAGTTGAATAAGTTGATACTTGCAAAGCACATAGACAGTAATTGACTAATAATGAAACTCAACAAATTTCATAGTTGTTACTAAGCTATTGTGGTTGCACTAAAACTTCATTGGTTTGGCTTCCACTGATTGGAAATTAATGATAAAAACTTCTGGGGAGTATGCTTAAGGGTATGTATCAGCACTAAATATAGCAGCTTGGATCTTTAGTTAACATTAAAAACAACAAACCAATATTATATGAGGAAACTTGGAAAAGGTTTTGGAAATATTCCATTATACATATGTGCCGTCAAGTCAATCCCGACCCATAGCGACCCTGTGTAGGGTTTCCGAGGAGCAGCTGGTGAGCTTGAACCACCAAGCATGCCGTTCAAAAGGCTTTGCAGTCTGGTGCGTTAACCCTCAGCACCACACCAGGACTATATATAAATTCCATTTTTTCACCAACTTTTTGAAGACTATTGTACTGTAGTGTGGCAATGTAGGCTACTGTGTTAGACTGCAAGGTTGAAGGTTCAACCTCACCAACCACTCCTTGGAAACCCTATACAGGATCGCTATGAGTTGGCACTGATTCAACGGAACTTAACAACAACAACAACAACAACAACAACAACATTCTACTGTAACAACATCATTGTGCTTTCCAGTGAACTTACTGATGAAGATCAAAGACTACAGCCTTCAGTATGAATTGCATCTCAATGTACAGAAAACAAAAATCATCACAGCTGGACCAATAACATCATGATAAATGGAGCAATGATTAAAGTTGTCAAAGACTTCATTTTGCTTGGATCCACAATCAACACTCATGGAAGAAATAGTCAAGAAATCAAAGGACATATTGTAGTAGGCAAATCTGCTGCACAAGACCTTTTTAAGATATTCAAGAGCAAAGATGCATGTGAAAGTTGGGCAATGAATAAGGAAGACAATAGAAGACTTGATGCATTCGAGTTATGGTGTTAGCAAAGAATATTGAAAGTATCATGGTATGCCAGAAGAACAAACAGATCTATTTTGTGAGAAGTGCAGCAAGAACGTTCCTTGAAGGTGAGGATGGTGAGACTTTGCCTTTCATACTTGGTACATGTTATCAGGAGGGACCAGTCCCTGGAGAAGGACATCATGCTTGGAAAAGTGGAGGGTCAGCGAAAAGGAGGAAGACCCCCTATGAGATGGATTGGCACAATGGCATTAACAATAGGGGCTCAAGAGTAACAGCTGTGAGTCAGGTCCAGCACTAGGCAGTGGCTCATTCTGTTGCACACAGGGTAACTCTGTGTGGAGCCAACTCAATGGGTCCTAACAACCACAACAACACAGAGAGTCACATGAACAGAGCTCTCAGTCTTAACCTGACTGCTCAGAAAGAATGGATAGAAATGAAAAATATGCTAACTGCAGTTAGAAACTCAATGGATTCATTTAGACAACTAAACACAGTCAAAGAGAGAATTCATGACTTGGAAAATAGAACTATGGCAATTATACAGATTGTATCAGTGATATAAAAAAGGGAACAAGCATTTTAAAGAAAAGTTAAGAACTTGGAGGGCACAGTGAGAAGGGCCACAGTATATCTAATGAGGTTAACAGAAGGAGAGAGCAGAAAGATTATTTAATAATCTTCTTATTAGTAATTAAGCTATTTTCTATTTTTTAGTCTTATAAGTAACAGTGAATTATACTTTTTATGGAAGGCTTCATGTATTTGCGTGTCATCCTTGCTGTCAACACTTATTGAAGCAGCAGTCAAGAAATCAAATGATGTATTGCATTATGAAAATCTGCTGCACAAGACCTTTTTAAAGT